AATGTACAAATGCGCTTTACACAATTGATGTGTGTATGGATTGTGATAAGAGTTGTATGAGCCCCTAATAAAATGATTTTAAAAAAAAGACTGGTCTCTTTGAAGATTGTGAGTTCGGTCCATTTTGTTCTCTCAGGACGTTCTAATGGGACCCTTTTAATAGCAGTTGGAAGTGGTAGCCAGGCACCATCTCGTTCTTCTGGTCTCAGGGTTGTGGGGACTGATGTTTGCTTGTTCCTTTAGTCTGTTGTTTCCATGTTTGGGGTTTTTTGCTGTGGTTGTGGTGGTGGTGGTGGTGGTGGTTTTCCATCACTCTTCTTTCCTCAGAGAGAGGCCAGTATTTTCACCTTCGATGACTGCTCACAAGCTTTTAAGACTCTAGTCACTACTGCTATTTAATTCAAAACTCAAGGCTAGGAAGCAGCCTAGAGTCTGTGTTAAGTGTAACTCACAGCTATTTTATCAAATAACTAAGAGATTCAACACATTGCTTCTGAGCCTAGAACCCAGGAATAAAAATGTTCAAAATCTATATGCATATACATAGACATAAAGGAAATTATAAGCAGTGTAACTTTGGCAGAATTTTGAAAGAGAAAAGACAGTGACAAAGCCATCACTTACGCTGTCACATAAGCAAGACAATTTGGAAGTGTCACCACCGTCGGTCTGTATCACATCTGTTTCGCTCACCACCTTAGAGCCACAGGTTGGTACAATGTGGCTGTTGGTTGTAGGTATTTGAGGGTAAATGTGGATCATTTTTGTTTGAGTCTTAGTAATTTTACTTTTTAAAAAAAATTTTACGTCTTGAGCAAACTTTCTTCAGGGCAATTTTCCTTTCCCTGTTCCTATCATTTCTCTCTTTCTCTGTCTTACGTTGAAGTGTATGGTAGGTGATTCTCATGTGCCTAGCAAGTTTGCACGTGACGAAGGGCTGACATAAGTGATGTAAATGAGTTGTAGTTCTCGCCCTCTGTTTTGAATTTCTCACGGGATAAGATGGCGACCTGGGAGAATTATTTGCCACTACAGGTCCTTGAGTGTAATCGATAGAGTGAAGATGCCCATCAGAGAGTTCTCGATCATTAGTAATGGAGTTCTGAAGCACAGATTCAAGGGTAGACATGGGTGTCCTGAGCACATGGGATGACGGGTAGAGTTTCTATGAATATGCAGATTTAGTGTGTGGGTGCATATATGTGCAATGGTTGAAGGCAGAGAATTGGTTCGTATTCATATAGTCTCAAAGGAGCCCAAACCCCCAATAGAGAAACATTGTGTTCGATTTATTTCATGGATTGTAATTTTGGTTTGCTTTGGAATTTGGGGTGAGAATATTCTGATAACACTGGAGAGGAAAATGGACAGTGTAGGAATCAGATTTTTCCGGCTCTCAACTCGGCTCAAAGGCTTCCATGGATTTTGCTATCTCTGAGAACGCTCGCTGTTGTTTTGATGCCTCACAAGCAGAGTAGGGATGCTTACGGCGCAGTTGTTGTCTCTGGCAGTTGAAATATCCAGGCAGACTGATGTCATTTGTTCCCAGAACAGCATTCAAGCCCTTCTGGGCAAATTCCCTGATACGTCACTGAACAGGCACAAAGAAGATATTTGATGTACAGTGAGCCATCCTGGCATAGCCAATTTATTTCAAACTGAGCTTATAATAGGCAATACAACAGCAACAACATTCTAAAAGCCATGACCCTTTTTAAAGTCCGCATTTTATTTTCCTTGAAATTCCTGGAAATTTTATCTGAAGGATCCTTTGTCAGATTTGATTGGCCTCTTCCCATATTCCTCTTAACTCTACCCTGAGGTGTGAGGAGATGATGTCCATGTTCGAATCAAACACCAGTCTCATTGAGTCTTGCACTAGTCTAGCGGTGCGATGGGTTAGGTGTGGGGCTGCTAACTGCAGAGTTGACAGTTCAAACCTGCCTGCAGCTCTGCAGGAGAAAGAGGAGGCTGGTGGCTGGTGTAAAGATTTGCAGGCTTGAAACCCTACGTCGGTGGCTGTGAGTCAGTGTCAGCTCCAAGCCAGTTGCTTTGCGTCTCTCGGCTCCCACAGACCTAATTTAGTGGCTGAGTTTATGATCTGCAGTAATCACCTTAGTGTCATGAAAGAGTCTGCTGAAACAGCTACAGGTGCTGCTGGTGTTCATTTAATTAATACAGTGTTTCCACACAATTTATCAGCTGATCGATTCATGCACAAAGCAGCAGCCCAACACCTGGCATGTACCTGGGGGTTCTTCCAGTTGCAGGGGAAGCAAAGGTGACTATTTTACATATTGCGGCAGGTTAAGTCAGGTGGCCACTCAGACTTGTAAGCTCTTTTATGTGTCCAATCTTTAAATAAAGGGTTTCCCTGATTATTTAGAGTCGCGTTTCACACCTGGGGTGATTTTTAATGCCACCCCCTTCCTTTTGGAGGGGGGCAGATTTGGCAATTCTAATGACATTTGGGATTGTCACAAATGAGGGAGAACTCTGTGTCATGTGTGTATCAGTCAGGGAGGCTTAGGCAGTACACATGACAACCCTCACAAGAACGAATTTATCTGGACCAAAATGCAAGCAGGGCCAACATTGAGAATCGCTGATTCAGAGGAAGCCTTCTGACTGAAGACGGCAATTTATTGTGGTGGGTGGGAAGACAGGAGAGGCCATGGAGGCAGTGGTCTTGCCTGAGATCATAAACAAGTTAGCCCTTGCTACGCTAACCCACCTAGAACCAGGGACCCTTTGCAAGGATGACTTTTCCTCCGTTTCGGTTGCCCTTCCCGGGTGAATTAGTCGCCCTCAACCTGTAGCCTCATGGTGGCTTCCTAATTGCTTGTCACTGACTCTGGCTCCTCTTAAAGGCACTACAGGTTAGCAAGAAAGGAGGACAGGTGGACCAGAAAGGATCATGTTCTGTGACTTATATCAAGAACACACGATGGAATGAATGCTGGGGGAGAATGAACCTGGGAAGTCTGGAAAGGCTTCACAGATGAGGTGGCATTTGTAAGGGGGTTGAAGTGGGTATTCGCCCGGTGGCTGAAAGAAGACCCTCTTCTCTTTGGAGCCAGTCCCTTGCGTGATTGTGTTTATAACCAGTGTGGCCAGATGGTTGGACTGTGTTTTCTGGAAGACCTGCTTTGACATTGCCCTGCTTAAGCGACATTCCTCCCAAATTACGCAGGCCCAGCCCTCTCCGCCATCTTCTTGCTGCTGACTGTTTCAGCAGCAGGTGGTTCTTACTGTGTGGTGTAGGCGTCTGAGGTGAGCTCTTCTTTAGCATGGCAGACTTTCAGCAAAGGAATTACACATTTTGTTTTGTTTTATAAATCTAGGTTTATTTCCTCCTGCTAATGCTCCTCGTACGTTTTCCCCAGGTTCTGGCCTTGGCCGTCTTGGAAATATATGCAGAGTACCCTTCACAACCCATGTGTAGTGGTGGTCGTGGTGGTGGTGGCGGTGGCAGTGGTGGTGGTGGTGATGGTGGTGGTTGGTGATGGTGATGATGATGGTGGTGCTGGAGGTGGTGGTGGCGGTGTTGGTGGTGATGGTGGAGGTGGTGGTGGTGGTGATGGTGATGTGGTGGCAGTGGTGGTGGCTAGGTGCCATTGCGTTGGTTTCGAATCTTAGTGACCCTGTGTCCGCTTCACACTGTTGTGTTTGTTGTGCCATCCGTTTGTAAGACGGTGGTGGCTTGTGTGTTGCTGTGATGCAGGAAGCTGTGTAGCTTTTTCAAATACCAGCAGGTCACCCCAAAATGAACAGCTTTCCTCAGAGCGCCCAGAAGATGAACAGACTGTAAAAAAAAGCCAGGGCGTCTACTCTGGAGGGATTAAAACCGTATGGATCGGAGTGAAACCGCGTCCATGCAGACACATAACTACTTTCCAAGTCCAGTCCAGGCTTTCGCATATGCTCGGTCCTCTAGGGAATAGAGTACATCCTTGGGCACAGACTCCTGATACACAGCATGGCAGCATAAAGTATGTTTCTGCAGGTATTAATGGCACGATGCACTGTTGTCACTGGGTACTCACAGGAGACTGGAATAGACATTGACTTTATGTTGCCACAGAATAGTGACATCTTTGTGATATAACCACTCCGATGTCAAAGCAGTTTTACTCTCTCCAACTTGAATACCGATTGTGGATGCTTGTACTTGGAGGGAAACGTGCTTTTGAGTTGTAACATGACAGGAGTAGTCATTTCGTGTACTGTAGCTGCCTTGGAAAGCATTCTTTCTCTTGGTTCTTTCACAAAGACTTTTTCCCTCGGTATTTCCCTATTCGAATCACACCAGTCCATTGAAAACAGCTGCAGTTTTGCCTTGATTTTAGTTTGTGCTAAAAGCCATGCGGTCTCAAATGCTGTTTGTTCCCTCTCCGTCAACACGTGTTTCTTCTCGGTTGCAGTCGGATGCCAACGCGAGTTACCTCAGGGCGGCTAGAGCGGGACACTTAGAAAAGGCCCTTGACTACATCAAAAACGGAGTCGACATCAACATTTGCAATCAGGTCGGTCATTACCCTTATTTAATTTATGGATTACTTATTTTAAAAACCAGACTTAAAAAGTTGTATTCGATATTATCAATATTTCTATTTATTTGCAAGGTTTCTTGTGGGTTTTTTTCCCTGTTATATTTTACCAGTGTGTTAGTCTGGGTAGACTAGAGAAACAGATTCATAGACACTCATATGTGTATAGGAACGAGATTTACATACAAGAACAATTGAATATTGAGAAATCATCCCAGCACAGTCCAGATCAAGTCCATGAGTCTGAGATTAGCCCATCTGTCTGATACCAGTCTATAAAGTCCTCTTCAGACTCACGAGGTACATGCAATGACGCCGAATCCACAGTGCCATCTCAGCGCTGGCAGGGGTCTCCACGAGCCTCCTCCAGGTCCCAGGGCACGGGGTCTGTCAGCGTAGTGCCATCTGTCTTGTCAGTAGAGTGTCTCTCAGGGAGTGAGCAGAGAGTCTCTCCCACCTCACCTCCAAGGAGGAAAAACCAGATTTCCCAGAATTCTCAGGAGAAGACCATGCCCACACAAAGGCCTCATTGGCTATACAATGATTGACAGGCTAGACTCCACCCTTCATTCCCAATCCTCATATTGACACCAGATTGTGTAACTACCACAGCCAGCTTGACATTATGCAATTATTCTCCCCTTTGTTAGACGAATGCTGCAGAAAGTCAGTGCGACAACTGACGTAATGTTAAAAGTACTCCCCCACCCCCATTTATCCAAGTCCCTGCAACCCTTTGCTGGTGGGATGTTACCCTGAGAGTTTTCTGCTGTTTTCATTCTGCTAAGTAATGCTCCCCTTCACTCTTCTCAGAATGGGTTGAATGCTCTCCATCTTGCTTCCAAAGAAGGCCACGTGGAAGTTGTTTCTGAGCTACTACAGAGAGAAGCCAATGTGGATGCAGCTACGAAGGTCAGTCTCACAGATTGACGTTTCTCTAACCTGTGACATGCCAGGTCCAATGATGAGTCAGCCCTCAGTAGGAACCAGGGCACAGTTTCCAGGAGGCGACTGCCAACTTTGTTCTCATGGGGGAATTTTAAAATACAGTTTTTCATGGTGGCTCTGACGCATGGCAACCCATGTCTGTCAAAAGAGAACTGTGTTCCGTTGGCTTAACTGCAGAAGAATTATATATTTTGTAAAATGTCAAAGCCCAGAAAGAAGTGTAAAGAGGCTGATGTATCTTGTTTTCCATTGACAGAAAGGAAATACAGCATTGCACATAGCCTCATTGGCAGGACAAGCAGAAGTAGTAAAGGTCTTGGTTACAAATGGAGCCAACGTCAATGCTCAATCTCAGGTAACCCTGTGACTGTATTGCAGAGAAATTCTGTTACTGTTTTCCACAAATACTGTCCTGGTTAAGTTCCCATTCCATTCCTAGGTCCTTTGATAACACAATATGAAAAAGCTATATATTCAAAGAATCATTATATGATTGTAAAATGTCTACCTTAATATGTATCCTCATTCACAATACATAAATAGGTGTGTGAAGTAGTGATTTATTATGATTCGTATCTAGTCTTAGATCTATGAAACTATAAGACTGGTAGCTGCAGACACAAATTCTTACTGGTCAGCAGTACTAGTGACCCTTGTACTATTGTGTTATGCTAGCTCATGTGTAGTCTCATTCTTTATGAGCTTAGTAAATAAATGGAGATACACAATTCTTGTTCCTAATCTTCAGTGTTTTTCTCTGAAATATATTATACAGATAGGTGTGTGTGTGTGTGTGTGTGTGTGTGTGTGTTTTGAGAAAGAGAGAGAGACTACTGCACAATGGTAGCTTGCATATAGCTTGCATGGTACTGTCATGTTGAAAGCTATGCCCCTGTGTCAGGCCAGATTGACTAGAGAAACAAACCCAGCACTCATACATGTGTAAAAAAGAGCATTATATCAAGGAGCAATCATGCATCAACTCAGGCTCATGAGACTGCTACTAGTCCATAAATCCTTCTTCAGACCACTCAGCCACAGGCAGTGATGAAGTATGCAGGAAGCTCACAGGCCAGTGGGTGAAAATTCTGGTGGATCCAACAGTGGTGGAAGGATCACAGAGCTCCGGCAGGTTTCAGCATGGCTCACCAATAGAAAGGTAAAAGCAGAGAGAGGTGGGGAGGTTCCCAGGACCCTCCTTATGAGAAGGCCACACCCACAAGGCTCTCACCTGATTGATAGGCTAAACTCCAACCCTACACTTCTATATATCAAGTTGACATGAAATTATGTAACTACCACAGCCCCCAGTCTTTCAAATAGCACCAGAGTGACCCATGGTGGACAGGTTTCAATGGAACTGCCAGGCGAAGACAAAGAAGAAAGTCCTGGCAGTCAACTCCAAAGACAGTTGGTCATTGAGGACTTTATGAGTAGCAGTAGAACATTGTCTGCTACAGTGCCAGAAAACGGAAAGCACTCCGAACCCCACGTGGGAAGTGCTGCCTCCTCAAAATAAAGGTGATCTTAATGGCACAGATAGAGTAAAATGTACAGGACCGTCGTTTGTTGAGGAGGAGGAGGAACAGCCGCAAACATCAATTATTAGGAAGTGGGATATAAGAAGTATGAATCTACCAAAATTGCAAGTTGTAAAAAAAATAAAATGGAGCTCTGGAAGATCAACATCATAGGCAACAGTGAGCTGAAATGTACTGATATTGACAATTTTCAGTCAGATAATCATATGGCCCACTGTGCCAGGAATGACCAATTGAATAAGAGTTGCACCTCATTCATCATCAAAAAGAATTTTTCAAGATCTCACCGGAAGCACAGTGCTGTCAGTGATAGGGTAATATCTGTTTATCTAGAAGGAAGACCAGTCAGCCTCACTATATTTATTTCTATGCTCCAAAACTACACCGCAACTGAAGAGTTTTACCAACCTCTGCAGTCTGAAACTGATCAAACACGGAATTGTGATGCGCTGATAATGGTGACCGAAATCTGAAAGTTGAAAACAAAAGGGAAGGTTTGGCGATTGGAAAACACAGTGTTTGTGGTAGAAATGATGTCAGAGACGGCACGGTAGGATGTTGCAGTCTCAGCGACCTTGTCAACATCGTAAACGGTGACTGAACACAGGGCGCACTCCAGATGGTGCGCAAATCAGTTTGGCTACATCTGTTGTGAGAGACGATGGAGCAGATCAGTATCGCCAGTCAGAACAAGAGCAGGGACCACCTGTCAAGCAGACCATCACTTGCCCACAGGCAAGTTCAAATTGAAGCTGAAGACAATGAGCACAAATCCACAGGAGTCAAAGATGGTCTTGAGAGAATTTCATCAGAACTTAGAAACCAACTCAAAGCCTGACTTGACGCTTTCAATAACAGTGAGCGAAGTCCGGACAGGTGTGGGGTGCCATCGAGCGTACCCTACCTGAAGCAAAGTAAAAGGTCATCATGAAGACAGGAACGAAAAATAAAAAAGACCAGATGGATGTCAAAAGAGACACTTAAACTTACTCTTGAACGTAAAGTAGCTCATGGAAGAACTAATAAAGTGAAAGAGCTGAAGAAAAGATTTCAAAGGGCAACTCCAGAAAGCCAAGTGAATAATGTATTATAATGAAATATGCAAAGACGTAGACTCAGGAAGCCCAGGGCGAAGAACATGCTCACCGTTTCTCCATCTGAACGAACTGAAGGAAAGTTTCGAGCCTCAGGTTGTAAAATTGAAGTATTCTGTGGTCAACGTATCAGGCACCACAGGAAGTTCCAAAAAGATGGGGTGAATGAATCACTTTAGCAAAAATAATTGGTCCGTGTTCAAGGTTCTTAGGAGGCAGCATCTGATCAAGAGCCAAAGGTATTAAAGGAAAAAAATTCAAGCTGCGCTGAAGGCATTGATGAAAAACAGACTACAGGAACTGATGCAGTATCCCCTGAGATGGCTCAACAAAGTAGATGCAGTCCTGGAAGCGCTCACTCATCTATTCCAAGAATTTTGGACGGTATTAACCTGGCCAACCAAGTAGAAGATAGTACCTATTCCAAAGAAAAGTGATCCAACACAATGCGGAAATTATCTAACAATGTCATTAATATCGCGCACAAGTATGTAAAACATTAGCAGGAATACATTGACAGGGAACTTCCAGAAATGATGTCAAATTCAGAAGACATGGATAACATCACAAAGAATGGGAGTAAAAGCACAAATACTTGTAGTCATGTACATGGTCCAAGAGGCAGCCATGCAAACAGAAAGAGGAGATATTACGCAACACAAAATCAGGCAAGGTATGCCTCAGCACTGCATCCTTCACCAAACACGTTCACTGTCTATGTTGAGCAAATAATTCAAGAAACTGGAGTATGTAAAGAAGAACGAAGCGTCAGAATTGGAGCAAGAGGCGCGAACAACCTGCACTGTGCCGATGCCACAACCTTGCTTGCTTGCTGAAAACAAGAAGCCTTGAAGCACTAACAACGTGAAGATCAAAGACGAGAGCATGACACTGAAACAAAAAGGAAGCAGAAAGGCTCAGAACTGGACCCCTAAGCAGCCTCATGATAACTGGAGGAGCAATTTCATTGACTGTGGGTCCACAGTCAAACCCATAGAAGCAGTAGTCAAGAAATCAAATGATGGGTTGCACTGGGGGAAATAGGAAGTAAATGACTTAAACTGTTAAAAAAAAAAAGACAATATCTTATGAACAAAATGTGACCCACACCATGGCATTTTTACCGACCTCATGTGTATGTATGCAAACGCTGGGCAATGAATAACTAAAGAAAACCCAAAAAGCATTGATGAACTTGAGTTATGGTGTTTGCAAAGAATTCTGACTATCCCACGGACTGCCAAGAGAACAAACAAATCTGTCTTGAAATAAGGACAGCCGGAATGCTTCCTCACATATGCTTCTGATATGTTATCAGATGGGACCAGACCCTGGGGAAGGACAGCATACCTGGTGTAGTAGAGATTCAACTTGACAGAGAAAAATCCTCATTGAAATGGATTGGCCCAGGGGTTGCAACAATTGACATAATCGGGAGGATGGTGCAGACCTCGGCAATGTTTCATTTTGTCGTTTGGAGGATTTATGTGTTGTGTTGTAGGTTGAGACTTACGGCAGTTACATAATCTGTTGTCAACTTGAGACTTGAGTGAAGGGGTGGAGTTTATTTGGAGCCACTGAGGAGATAAATAACTCACTGAGGCAGGACACTCACTCACTCCCCATGAGACATTGCTGTTGACAAGACACATGGAGCTATGCTAGAGCCCTGGAGCTGCAGGAGCCACGTGGAGACCCCTGCCAGTGCTGAGATGCTTACACCGCCACTGGATCCACAAGATTTTCCACCCACTGGCCTGTGATCTTCCTGCATTCAGTGTCATTGCATGTGTTTCGTGAGTCTGTAGAGGCCTTTAGAGACAGGTATCAGACATTGGGGCTATTATCTGGATTATGGACTTGATCTGGACCGGGCTGGGATGTTTTCTCAATATGCAATTACTCTTGTTTATCAAGCTCTTTCTTATACACGAGTCTCTCTGGATTTGTTTCTCTAGTCTACCTGGACTAACACAAGACTCAACACTCTAAACGGACTCCATGGCACCTAACAATAACAGATAGGTATACAGACATACCAGACATACTGGTGTGTTTGAATAAACTTTAAAACTGCACATACCTTAACTTTTCCAAATTCTCTATGATGGATGTACTTAAAGTTTTATATAGTGAGTCATTTTTGAGCTCATTAAGGCATTCATGAAATTCAAAAAGCCCAAATAATTTAAGAACTTTGGTTCCAAAACAATTAGCACTATGTTATTAGTTTTTTGGTTTTTTTTTAATTAATCAATTTATTGGGGCTCATACAATTCATCACAATACATAGATCAATTGTGTAGAGCACATCTATACATTTGTTGCCCTCATCATTCCCAAAATTCTCTTGCCTCTTGGGTTCCCGGAATCCGCTCATTTTCCTCCCCCCCCCACCTTCCCTTCCTCCTCCCCTTTCCCCCATGCACCCTTAATAATTTATAAATTATTTTTGTATCTTACATTACACTGTCTGGCGCCTCCCCTCACCCACCCCGCTGCGCCCGTCCCCCAGAGAGGAGGCCATACGCGGCTCCCTGTGATCCATTCCCCCTTGCTACCTCCCCCTTCCCTCCTGGTATCGCCACCATTGCCCCCGTCCCGAGAGGCTCCTCCGTCCTAGATTCCCTGCGCTTCCAACTCCCATCCGTACCGCTGTGCATCATCTGGTCTAACCAGATCTGCAAGGCGAAACTGGGGTCCTGGTAGTTGGGGGGAGG